AACTTGTGGAGTCCTACAAGTCACATTTACAGGACTAATTCCACCCAATTTCTCCAAGGTAAAACAAATTGGATTCCCTTTCACGTGAACATGAGAACTGCTGCAAAACATCCAGGTTTAATGCCTCACCACCATCCCAACAAAGCATCTTGGAGCCTGATCATACACTTGCACTGAGCTCCCACACTCAAAACACCTTCCAAGAATCAGTTAATTTTTCCTTTCTCCTGAACTTTCTTGAAAGATGTATTTTTGATGCACCTAGGAGAGCTATGGCTTTCTACCCAAAAGTCTCCATGAGAGACTTATGACCCTTTAAACTTTAAGCATCCTCAGCCTGTGGTTGTCCTGTCTGATTTCCTACACATCAGAAGGCATAACGTCACCTGCTGGATTTTAGGAGGGAATTCCACTTCCTTGCCAAGCTAATAAATGCCAGACTTTCTAATTAACTGATATTCAAATTGGGTCTCAGAACTTTACCCCAGAAAAGATGTCTCCTTTGCACAAGCCACCCACTGATGCTAAGAGTATTAGTCATTAAAGCAGGAATTGGGAGTAAAAATAGCAAGGATTCTGCACATACTTTTTTTAAGCCTCACACGTACTCAAAATTGATCTCTGGGTCAGCTGTCAAGAAATGCTTGGTTTGGGGCTTTTTTTCCTTCCTTTTTATTGCCATTTTATTTTAGATCAACACTTCTGATTCATAAAAATGGGAGTAACTGTGAACATATTTTCCAAATCAGCCTTCACAAGAATGCTTTGTTGAGGTCTTACAAAAGGCCAATCTCAAAATAAACTTTTTCAGGAGTTTTTTAAATGTCAGTGGAGAAGTCTTCACTATTATTTCTGTATTTCCTTACTTTGCAACGCAAACATTTTTAACCACTTTAGGAGTCATACCCCAAGACAGAGGAAATAAAGGAAAAAGAAATATTTTGGCAAAAAAACCCATAGGATGGATTTGACAGGTTTCATCAGGGTCTGTCATGCAAAGATCAACAGTTCCAAATGATGAATTTTAAATATTGACAAGGCACCATCAGCTACTCTAATCCTAAAAAACCACCCTGCTTCTAGGGACCAGATGTTACAATGACAGAACAAACTCATATTTGCAGGTGGCATCACTATTATCAACAGCACTTCATTTTCAGCACTGAGGACCCTGCTGCACCAGCTGATAGACTCTGAAACAGTATTGATAGTATTAAAATACTTCTGACACCTTCAGGTCATCCAAAACATGGATCCTGTGGTCATCACATGAATTTTTTTTCTGTGAACCCTCATGAACACACCTCTGGCTCCTCTGCTTCAAGTTTCATCTGTCCCAAGTTTTGAAGTTTTTCACAACTTCTTTACTTTATCACTTGGAGACACTCAGGAACAAGCCACTTCCTTCAACCATCACCATCCTTGAAAACCTCCTCAGGTGCTCTCCTTGCCTCTGCTTACCCCATGCCAAAATGAATTTAACCAGTGAAATGCCCTTCAAGACTCACAGAAACACAGAATGGTTTGGGCTGGAAAGGACCTTAAAGATCATCTCATTCCAAGCCCCTGCCAGGGACAGGGACACCTTCCAATATCCCAGGTGTCTCAGAGCCCCATCCAACCTGGCCTTGGGCACTTCTAGGGATCCATGGGCAGCCACAGCTTCTCTGGGTAACCTGTGTCAGGGCTCACCACCCTCACAGCCAAGAATTTCTCCCCAATATCTGTTGGAGAAACAAGGTGGCACCTTCTCTACCTGTCCCTCAGGGATGTCCTGTCCCTGAGCAAGGCCAACATCACATCCCCTCACTCATCTCAGACCAGCATCCCGTGGCTGTCAAAGGCCAGAAACAGTGACACAAAATACACCAGCTCAGCAGAGCACAAGCCAGGAGAGGGGGAAAAGCATCCCCAGCCTAAAGCGTTGGCAGGGCTGGTGTTTACCCTATTTCTAGTAACACTTCCATAAAGTTTTAATAAATGCTTCATTAAAACATCAAGTGTCTGTCCAGCTAGTCAATTATCTCTCATAATCACAGCTATATAACTGTATACTGTCTTCTACAGATGTTCTTACATCTGTGCAAAACACTCTCCACCTCTGCCACATGTAACATCTGTTGAATATTTGCAAATGTTTTCTCAATATAGAACTGAAATTACACTGTCTTGCTTATGATGTATTTACTGTCCCACTACTCTGTACAAGCCTTAAAAATCATTAAAAAGGTATTTCCTGGCTGTGTACAAGGTACCAATCTCTCGATAGCTCTTCGCTGTATTTATTTAAATGGCTTTTAGACTTTCCACTTAGTAACAGATTACACCGAGCCTCCATCTTATCACAGGAGTTATTAGGACCTAATCCTTTATAAGCACTGAAGTTATTAGACTTGTGAGGATATTTTCTTCCCTTTCATAAATAATCTGTGGGAGAGAAGGAAAAAAAAAAAAAAAAAGGAGGAAAAAAGCCACTTGCATCCCTGCTCACCCAGGCAACAGTCCCAACCCCAGAGAATGAACCTGCATCACCTGCTCTTACTTTGCCAGCAGCAAAAGAAATCAAATTTGTTTTCACCTAAAGGCTTCTAGAGAGGGAAAACAAATTGCACTAAATCCTGGCCAGCACCCTTCTCTGCTAGAGCAGGAAGAAACGCCTTGGAGAAGGTTTGACCCACGTTCAGCTTTCCAAAGCTGCTTCTCTGCTCAGACACAAGGTCACCACTCTGCTACCACACTTTCTTCCCCAGAGCACCAGGGGCACAAATAGATTTTAGAAACTGTCCTGTCCAAGGGACAACAAAGTTGGGGATGGGGACATGTACGGGGGGTGGAGAGGGAAGATACCTTCCCCTTCTGCAACAGCTTCATCCCTTCCCACCCCAAAGAAAACTCCACGGGCAGCTCTTGGATTTTGCCACCCAAATCCCACCACAGTTTGATAACTGCCTTCCAAGACTCTCTGCTTGTAATTAATGCCATTTTCTGCTATTTTGATAAAAAAAAAAATCACAATTTTGCCCCCATTTTCTCCTCTGCCCCCCTCCCCACCACCACAGCCCGTGACGTGAGTTTGCTGGATCCCTGAGCCGGCTTGGTCCTGGCAGGGCTGGAGAAAGGAGGGGGAAATGGGTGGATTGATGGATCAGAGACCTTTTGGAAAGGGAAACCTCACCCCACATGACAAGGTGTGCAAACAGCATCTCCAACTGCTCCTGCTAAATAAAATCACAGCCAGGCTCTGGGGAGCATCTCCAAGAGGGAAACGAGCAGCAGATCAGCTCTTCAGCCACTCCTGGATTCTCCCCGGCTCCTCCATCCACACCCAGGCACTGACAGCCTGCGATGCTTGAGCATCCCATCGCCTCCCACAGCTCCAAACAGACCCCAAAGTTAACACCTTACAACCACGGCGAAACAACCCCAGAACAGCAGCACCGGGGGAGTTTTCACTGCCTCTGGGGCAGCCTCACTCCTCGGCTCCCCTGGAAAATACATTTGGAAAAGACAGCCGGGAAGGGCACAAACAACTCCCTGAGAACTCTCTGCAAACTCCTGCTCTGCAAAAGCTGCGATTCGCCTCCGTCACCGGGGGGTTTTAGGGTCTCTCTGCAAAAGAGATGCCGCTCCTCGCACTGCCCGAGTCACTTGTCTGCCGCCCGAATTTCCGCGTGGAGCAATTCCAGAGTGTTTTTGCTAAACAAAAACATGCAAAAAGCTCCCCCCCAAAAAAAACCACCCCAGACATCCCCAGCTGACTGCGCCCAGGAAGGTTTGACAGCTCTAACAGGACATCTCATCCCACGACACGTCTACTGCTAATGCAAAATAAATCAGCGCTCAGTCTGCCGGCGCATTTTATTTTTTATTTTTTCACATGGCACGCCTGCGATTTTGGCATTCAAAGGCAAATCGGCCGCGGTTCCAACTCAACACGTCCCTTCCCAGCACACACAAATGCCCCGATACTTTTCCCACCGCCGGGTCCTGCGGGGGGAGGACCCCGATTTGGGATCCCATCCTCATCCCTCCGCACCGAATTCACCAGCGCACCTCTCCGAGCAACAAAAGAGAGTTGAACCAAACGCGTGGCACCCCGCCTTCCCTCTTCTTCTCCTCTTAAAATGTTTATTTGCAGTTTTTTGAAGGCACCTTAACCCGCCATGTTGAACAAGCTTTATAAATATTCATTTACCGCAGTTCGGGAGCGCTACGGGAAAATATGTCTAGATCAGGGCTGCACATTTTGGCACAGCTGATTGCTTTCTTCTCTTTTCTTTTCTTTTTTTCTCCCCTTTCCCTCTCGCCTCCTGCAGCAGCTTTTTTCCCCCTCCCTCCTTTTCCCCCGCAGATGCAGAAGAAGCCCACCCGCACACCCAAAATAACTCCGAGAGATGTGCATCAGCCTGGTAAATCTAAAAGGAGGTCGCACGAGCATTTTGCAGGAAAGCAGAAAAACGATAGGTTAAATTTAAAAAAAAAAAAAAAAAAAAAAGGAAAAGACGGGCAAAAGGAATAAGAGAAAAAAAAAATAAAATTTAAAAAAAAAATGAGAAAAAGCAAAAAAATAGGGAAGGGGGAGGAAGGGGGGGGGGGATGGATAAAATGCGATCTGTGGAGGTAAAAAGCTAGCCCCGCGATGCAGCCGAGCGGCAGCGCGGAGCCTCCCGGCCCGAGGGGCGCAGCCGGGCAGCGGCAGCCGCGCTCCGAGCGCCGGTCCCGGCCGGGGGCTCAGCCCCGGCACGCCAGCACTTCCAGCAACTCCACCGCGGGCTCACCCTCTGAAAACGGGGGGAGGAAAAATATCCACACCCATCCCTCAGGCTATTTTAAAAATCAATCAATCAATTAATTAATTAGATTTTTTTTTTTTTTAACACATCTCGGAAAGGGGAAAGCGACTCTCTCCACCCAAGCGCTGCCAAACCCGATAAATAAAGTAAAGGGAAATGCCAGCCGGGAGGGCTTGGGAGGGGTGGCTGTGGGGCGCGGTGCCTTACCTGTGCGAGTTTGGTTTATTTCGGGGTGTTTTCCCCCTTTTTTCCCCCCGCGGAGCGGTGCGCGGTGCTGCGCGGAGCGGAGCCCAGCCGTGCCTGCGCCCGCACCCGCGGCAGGCTCATTCCAATATGGCATCCGCGCAGTGCGCATGCCTGCCCGCTCTTTTTAGGGTTTTTTTTCTCTTTCTTGCTTGCTTTTTTTTTTTTTTTTTTTTTTTTTTTTTTTTTTTGGGGTAATATTTAGCAACCAACCCCTTGGGTGACCTTTTTCAGCGGTTAGGAGAAAAAGGATTTAAAAAAAAAAAATCCCTAAAAATAATCACGCGCGCATCGCGACCCACACCGCCCCGGCTGCGCGCCCGCGGTGCCTCCGCGCCTTGAGCCGCGCCTCCGCCGGGGCTTTGGGCTCAGCGGGCGAGGGCAGGGATGGATGCAGGCGTGGAAGTGATGCCGCGGTTCGGCCGCGCTCCGCGGGGCAGCGCGCAGCGGCAGCCGGGGCCGGCGCGTTAAATGCCATCAAATACCGAGCCTTCAACAGCGGAGCGCTGCCTCCCGGCTTGCCCTCCCCACCGCTCCCCGCAACCTTTTATTTCGCTTTTCCTCCTCATTTCGTGTCGCCAAGAAACTTCCAGGGAGGGAGATGGGGAAAAGAGGAAAAACAAAAAAATGCGGCGCGTCCCTCAGCCCGCCCGTTCCCTTCGCTTCGCCGGGCTCCGGCATTACCTGTTTATTCCCTGTTGCAGGAAATAAATAAAATATATCAAGAAAAGCCGGCGAAGGTAAAGGCAGGGTGTAAAATCAACTGGTGGCCACCCTCCGCCCTCCCGGCGCGCAGGGACACGCAGAACTTTCCCTCCTTTGCTCCTCAGGTTATTGGATAGGGTTTTTTTCTTTGGGGTTATTTGATGGTTTTTCCTTTCTTTGGCGGGTGCCGGGCATTCAGCGGAATCGCGCTGCACGCCGGTGTGTGCGGCTGTGCTGGTGCGGGGGTGTTTGCACGTACAGCCACACTGCGGGATTTTTCAGATCGCATAGATATTCCCTTCTCTCCTCTCGAGAAAACAGCCCCGCTGCAGGGCTGAAAAATCACGCCAGACACCACTGCCCATGCCCCCCGCCCGCCTGGTCCTGCTCTTGTGGGGGGTCAGAAAAGTCCCCTGGGCTGGGAGGGATGGGGATAAACCCTCACTCTGCAGCCGGGGTTTCTCGGGATGCTCCGACCGCAGATCCCACAGCTTCCCCTGGGCTGGGGGTGAATTTTGCAGGATTTTCGCACCCCCGCTCTTGCAGCCCTGCTTAGAGACTGCGTAAAGCATCTTTGCTGGGGATTTTTGGAAGCCCAGCTCCCGTCTCCCTGCAGGCACGATTGGTAGGGTTGGGGATTCAAATGGATGCCTTTGGAGCATCCTCCGAGGGGCGGTTGTGGAAGGGCACACGCATTCAACAGGTCTGGAGGAGAGCAGAGGGAAGGGACACCCCGGTTTTGAGGCACCAACGAGGGCTTTGTCCTTTCCACAAATTTCTTTTGGAATTAACCTCAAATGCTGCTGTGTCCATCCCCACACCCGGGGTGCCAAATTTATGTCACCCCTGGTGCTCAGACACAAAGTGCTGTCTTCCCTTTCCCTTCTCTGGTCATTCCCAAGCCGAGGTTTGAAGTTTCCAGGTTGATTTTGTGAGCGTTGCTTCTTGCAGGAGCAGCGAGGGTGATCTCACAGTTGGGGAAGTGCTGATTTCCCACAGATAACCCCAGCTCTTCTCTGCCCCATTACAATCACCAGTACCCTTTTCACCGGCTCTTGCTGGGGATTCATCACTGAACCTCCCAAATCCTTCTCTCTTCCACTCTCTCCAATCCCTTTCTCTTCCACCAACCTCTCATGGATTTTGTGCAAGAAGACAAGTGAGGAGTGGAATAAAGATAAAGAAATATTTTGATTCTGGAATACATTTGAGAGGATAGTGAAGACTGGGAAAAAAAGAGCAAATATTGCAGACGGTGTTTCTTCGCCACAATCCATGCTCTTCATTCACACTCTGAGAGGCCACGGGCAAGGGCTCAGCCTCTCCTGTTCCAACAGATTTCCTGGAAAACATACAGATCAAGCAGTTCCTATTTTCAGGCTTTGGGCTGGATGGGATTTCAAAACAGCAAGGGAACACCATCAGATCTTCAAAATAAGACCAAAAACCCAGCTAGATGTCAGGGGAGCATTGAAGTCCTGTTTATCCAGATGACTGTGGAAGTGGGTGACATTTTCAGCATGGTGACATTTCAAATTTTCAACATACTTTTGAAAGGAAGATGCCCTACAAATGCCATATCTGTGTTATCTCTTCTTTTAATCTGCTCTGACTTAGGTTACACTGAGATTCCTCTGGCTGCAGCCTCTCTTCATTTAAAGCTGGTGGCATCATCCAATTTAGGGACAGACACAGCCACAGTGGCTCTCACAGCACTTCAGGTGTTTCTCACTCTCTTTTCCTTTAACACCGGATGTCTTTGTGCTTTATTTCCATTCAGCTTAAGAGGTCTTCTCAGAAGTTTTGGTTCCACTGTCATCTCTAGAGCTTCTTCTTTCCTCTTCACATTGATTTTCTCTGTCCTGGCCTCTCTTAGTTTTATTTAGAGACTACTTCTGAAGCACTGATGAGGTTTAATTGGCCCTGTATGTAGAAATGTGGAAGAAAGCCTTCTAAGAGTTTGTGATCTAAATTAGGTCTGTAGATGATGTCCAAAGAGGTGGTTTGGAAAAAAAAAAAATAGCAATTAAAGCTGAGGAACAAAATTCCTCTGGAACTTTTCTAAGTGGCTGCTACAACAAAGCTCACAGATATGAATGAAAAGGTGTAGATTTATATCAGGTCTGAGCTGGAGATGACTCTAACAGCTCCTGTTGGCATCAAAGACTTTGCATCTTGCTCATTGCTGAGAATACAAATTGGTTTAGTGGACACAAACTGTAATTGCTGAGAGATTTTAATACTACCTTTAAGAGCATCATTGGGGGAAAAAAGAAAGTGCTTTGAAAAATACTGAATTGAGCCAGTGTAGTATCCCAAGATGTAGAATGAATTTAAGCCTTGGCAAAAACCCACACTGAGATCAGCTCCAGTTTCAGACTCAGTGACACTCAGGGATGTATCTTCCAATGATCTAAAGCAACTCCATTAATTTCACTGCTGTCCATCCTCCTTAGTGCTACATTTGGTGGCTACCAGGGCATCTGATCTTGTATTTCAAGTTTGGAACAGAAGTTTCACATCTGTTTTTTGTCATTGTTTTTAACTAAAGTACTTTTATGCAAGTAGCACTGATAAAAAAGATTTACCTGAATACCAAGCACCCAAGTTGTAATGAACATCCATCTGCTGTTGCCTCTGATGATCACTCCTAAAGGATATAACTGTTCACATTCCAAATTTTCCATAGCTGGACACAAGAAAACTGTCCAATCCAGTGAAATTCAGACAATCCCATTAATTTAGATCAGATGTTAGCAGTTCCTGATGTGCAGGTTAAGATTTCTAAGATAAGATTTCTGTTGCCTTCAGCAAGTTCATGTTTTTGGAGGATAGATGGAGATGTAAAGAGATCCCCTACACAAGGAGGCACAAGCACACACACCAACAGAGATGTTATGGCATTAACAGTCCTAATTTTTCTCTTTTCTCCTGGCTTGGGAAATAAATGCTCTGGGGCACCTTGTGGGATTTGTAGGTGGTTGTGTATTTGGTCATCCATTTCTGGCCCAAATTTAAGCAGGTGCCTGAAGGACTCAAAGCATCCCACAAGCTTAACATGGTGCTGAGATGACATTTGTGTTCATAAATGAGTAAATGGCATTAGTCTTGCAGACAGAGCAAAGGGGAGGACCTGAGCCAACTTTTCTACAGGTAAAATGGCAACCAACGCTCAGGCTCTGGAGCTTCATCTGTGGTAAACACTATGAGCCTGGGCAGAAGTTCCTTGATGGCAGCCAGCTTTCCTTTTAACCCAAAGAATGTGATTATCACCAGTTTTTGAGGTATTTGCCTGCTTTTGGGATGCTGACACCAAGCTGCCCTGAGCTGGAAAAGGGGCAGGGCTGTGCAGCTGACACTGGGGAATTATCTGGGCTGGTTAACAGTGTCCAGCCTGAGTGAGCTAAAGGATGGAGGGTGTCTTAACAGGAGCTTTGTGTCATAGAGGGGGCACAGGACATCACCTGGGGCCAGCTCCTATTAGCTCCTCTGTCATACTCCTCTCCTGGGTTCACAGCGAAGCTTCTCTGCATTTTCCCTCTCCTCACAACAAACTGTGGCCTTCAGCTTCCAAGTTTTATCACAATCTTTACAGGAGGTAAAGACACCATCAGGCCCTTATTTCATGACAGCCCCCGGGCCAGGGCTTTCACTTCTACCTTTGTCTTCTTTTTATCCATCAGCCCTGACTCAGAGAGAAGTTGGTCCCTGGGAGGTGGCATTAGGATGCTGAAAGACTTGTTTCACAGTGCCATCTCCTGGAGATCATATTTAGCCTGAATTTCTCTGATATCTTTTTTTTTTTCCCAACGTATCCGAGCTTTGAAGGCAGGTGTTTAAGGCATGATCTAAAGAAGAGATTAGCATAAGTGAAGTTAATCCAAAATTTAAACTCCCTCTTTATGCTTCACAGTAAAAGTCCTGCTTCTTGAATGCTGTGAACAGCAAAGAAATTGCTGGCTTGGGATTAATAAAATATTCATTGGGTTATGTCTCACAGGCTTTGCACCTCTTGGCAGCACCAGCCCTCTGTGCAGTGATTACACAGGCAAAACACCCCCTGGAGAGGTAAAAGGTCCCTTGGTGTAGCCCTTCTCCTGCAGGAATTCAAGGAATACCAGGAAAAAGGGGTTGCCACCTCTCAAATGGGAGGTCTCAGGGCCAGGTGCCCCCACAGCCTCCTGCAGCTGCCCTGCACACCCTGCCCCAGACACAAACCCCATGTGGAAACCCACACACCAACTCCATAGCCCAAAGCACTTTATTTACCAAATTTTATTTATTTTTATTGCCTGTTGATTAGAAATCACTGCGTAGGGGTTGTGGCTATTCAGCAGAGGG